AAGACAAGAATGCAGCGTGGCCCACCCAACATGGTTGCAACAACATGAACTTGTAAAAAATCCCGAAAAAACATATATGTATGCAAAGGCTTCGTGTTACTATCACTTTAGGTCGATCTAAGTGTGCGCTCGTCGAAACCCAGTCGCCATTGGTATCTACGAGGAGAAAGATTTGATTCAGTTTATAATAGATTTTAAATATCGTTTGGGGCGCGGATAATGCTTAAGCAAGCTCGACAGGGCAGAGATAAACCCGCTGGGCGACAAGTCTAAGGAAAATTCAATGTTGTCAAGAGGACTTCTGCACATTTGATTATGGTACAGTCGACTACTCGTCCTTCTATCCACTTGTGCGACCCTTTCCACTTGTGGAAAGGCCATTGAAAATGTCTACGGATTAGACAAGGCGATTCGGCAGATCTTGAATATGAACTGTATTTACTTTGTGCCGCATAAGATCGAATGGTAGTATTGGAGTCTACTTAATATGAGTAGTGTAGTCGGAAGTAAATGTTGCACGGATCCGATTCGACTACCTTTGGGGGTGATGATGAACACATGAGAGGTCGGGATTAGCATAAGTGCTTGGAGGCAAGGCTATAGTCATATATCTTTACTCTTTCTCACCACAATCGCCCTATGAAATATTCGATGGGGAGATTACGTCTTATTTTCGTATTGGAGTAGAGTTTCGAGACTACCAGTAAATCAGCAATATGACATGTATTCACCCTATTTCGTCTGAGGTGATAAAGGACGAGTGGTAGTAGAATTTTTTCACACCATTGAATTTCACATCTCCTATTACTGAGATTACTTCTTCACTCTTTGATTTGTGTCAACCAACAAACGATAGCCACCTCTTCGAACCTATTTTATCAACTAATCAGAAGATGGAATTCAAAATGAGCAGGTCCATTTTTAGAAGACAATTCCATGGAAGGAATTTGTGCGGTTCTTTCATAGCACCCTTAATTCTTCTGTGCGTCTATTACTTTGCACCGACTTTACTCGTTGTCATCATTCATGTATTTCCTTTCTCAGATGAAACCTTTGACGTATTTAGTTTATTTACAAGACACTTAGTTATTCATTTTTCCTCCTCAATTAAGGCTGGGAAAATCTACGTCGTCAAGGGTCACTAAGCCCCTATTTAAGTGAGACCCTTTTCGTGATTAAAAGATCAGGTACAACTCAATTGCCGTCTTTAGAGGTTTGAAGCCAATTAAACTCTAAACTAATAAAGAGTAGGAGAGAACTAATTACTCGCATTTAAACGTTACAGTTGTAGGTAATAATTATCTCATAAAAGTTGTTTGACCTTGTTTTCGCAACTTGGCCATGTTGGTAGGACGACTTAGAGGGACGCACCTTGTCCGGAGTCCATTGTCTGCATCATCATTTCCAAAGTTGAACCGTGGACGTGGTACATTCCCAAACATTTCACCGGCATCGTCAGTGAGTATCGCCATTCTTAGCACCACACAACAACTCGTCAAAGAGACAAGTGAAGCCCATCCTTTGACCAAACGTGTGCTAAACAATTATAGTTATTCGACTTTCCGGTATCACCCTATCATGCCTTCACTATTACAATTTTACCGTGTTCATTTGGATATAGTCTGGTGTGCTCCTTTGAGTGACATGACACCTACACACTCCAACTGTCCTTCTCACTCCCCCTGGTAGTATAATTTTCCCACAATGATATGAGTTTGAGCTGACGTTTCCACTGAATTTCACATAGCCTTGTTTTCCCAAAAGTTGTTCTCATTCCGGCTGAGGTGGACTGCAGTTTCGACCTCGCATTGGTCTTATCAACACCCTCAG